GAAGAAATGTATACGTTAGTAGTCAACAGTTTCCACCGATTTAGGAAGGACTGCATTGGAAGAACGAGGGGAAATTCACTAGAGTGAACAGAGCTGCAAACTATACTCTATTCACATTTTCAAAGAATTTTCAGGAAATGACTGAGATTCTCTTCTAATGAATTGTTTCGATCTGTTATGTCATAAAGCATGATGCAAAAATATACCCTGTGCACCCAGTAAGCATTCTTCTCCCCTTTACCTTCACCGTGATCCATAGGTGCTTCTGCAACTGCTTTCTCTTTATCAGGAATAGTATCCTGACTCTCAGGGGCTACCTCCTTTTGTTGATGTTGCTCATCACTCGGCTGCTGGACCTAGTGTGTGTGTGTGTGTGTGTGTGTGTGTGTGTGTGTGTGTATGCGCGTGTCCAAATAAAAATTGCATTGTTAATACATGCCAACAATATAAACATACACTACACATTTTACATCAAATATTGAGTATAAAAGCACTTGTAACACATGATTCTATATATTTATTCCTAAAATGAATATGGCTCTGTATACATATAATGGAATATTACTCAGTCATGAAAAAGAATAAAATCTTGCCATTTGCAACGATGTGGAAAGGGCTTAGAATGTATTCTGCTGAGTGAAAGGAGTCAATGAGAGAAGAACAATCACCATATGATTTCACTCATCTGTGGAATTGAAGAATAAAACAGGAACACAGGAGGAGAGAAGGAAACATAAGAGGAGAGTGGGAAACAAATCACAAGAGACTTAACTGTAGAGAACAAAGTAAGGGCTGATGGAGGTAGGTGGGTGGAGGATGGCATAAATAGATGGGTGATGGGCAATAAAGAAGGCACTGCTGATGAGCACTGGGTGTTGTATGAAAATCATAAATAAAAAAAGTCTACTCCTGAAACCAATATTGCACTGTACGCTAAGTAACATTTAAATTTTTAAAAAAGATACACTTCCCGCAGCCTGGCTACTCCAGAAGAGGCACCCACAAGCACTTGGGAGGCTATTTTACACTGTGCTGCTGCGGATATATACAACCTGTTGTTAATAAGCATAACAAAGGAGTCCTAGGGGACATTTCCACAGGCAACACGAGGACGGTCGCCTTCTGGTTCAACGTTTCCTGCTCCTTATCAGCAGAGAAACGTTTATCACTCTACCTGTATTTTGTAGTTCAACTACATTTTCAGAAAAACACACTAATGGTATAGAAAAAATCAAATACCGAAGTACTCACAGCCACAGGTGGAGCCGGCTGGTTAGCCTCTTGATTACCCTTTCTTTCTTTAGATTTATACCTTGCTGTCACTTGTCCACTCATGTTTCACCCTGAAAGTAGGATATCAGTATTTGGAAAATGTACTCTCAACGCTAGGTATACCACTTCCAAGGCGAAACGTGTTCATTTGTTTTTACTTTGAAAATA